GTATCGATTCGTGGCACGAACCGTTACTAAAGGTTAGCCCTTTAGTACCGGTTTGTGCCATTAACCGGTACTAAAGGTGATCGCGGGGCCCCGGCCTGACGCCAGCCTGCCACCACCCCTTTAGTACCGGTCTGCATGGCGACGTTTATGAGCCCAAAACGACAAAGGCCGAAGCCCACGCTAAAAACCTCTTACAGTCCACAACACTCAACTTAGTTTAGTCCCACCTCACCAATCGAGGAGGCGTTCTATCAGCTTAAATAGCCCTCTTCACTCTCTCCACTCGCCGAGCTTAGTTGCGTGAGCTTGTAACCCGAGTGGGGGCATTAAGGTGATGTGGACGCTGTTGTAGCGTTGCGGGCCTGGTTTGGGTGTGCTACTGCCGGCCCACCCGTTCCAAGTTGCGTAGTGGACCGCTTGGGCCTATGCGAAAGCTGGGTCTCACGGTCCATAATGTGGCAGGCACAGCGTGAGGCTGGCTTCACAGAGCAGCGACAACTGCCCGCTTTCAACGGTGGAAGGATACGGGCCGCTGCACTCCTAGGCCACTTGGGCCTCTCGCAGCCTATTCCAACAGACCATCACTTTTTTCTTTGTGCTGCGTATGAGAGTATTTACATCTTTTGACTTGAGTATAAATTGTGATTGTTGAATATAAATTGTGAGTTTTTTGCCCTAAACATAGAAGGTTTATTTGTTCACACTTCTCACTCTTGAGTATAAATTGTGACTTTTGAATATAAATAATGAAATATATTTTTTTGCTGCACATAAGAGGTTTATTAGCTTACTCTTTTGACTTTGGAATATAAATTGTGAGTATTTTTTGTGCTCGATACAAGAGGTTTATTTGCTCAATCTTTTGACTCTTCAGTATAAATTGTGAGTATGGTGGTGATTGCAAGGTCGACTTGGTATGGTTTGTGGTATTCTGGTTCACATTCGATCTTTTTATCCGATAATAGGCAACAAAGCTGCGGTTTGACGGTCTGGCTTGCAATGCCTGCAATAAACACTGATGAACAACAAAAGTGACAATTCTAAATTTGTAACTCTGTATGCATTGAAATAGTAAGTAAGTTACCCACAACAAAGTGCTCGATACAAGAGGTTTATTTGCTCAATCTTTTGACTCTTCAATATAAATTGTGAGTATGGTGGTGACTGCGAGGTCGACTCTGGTATGGTTTGTGGTATTCTGGTTCACCTCTGATCTTTTTATCCGATAATGGGCAACAAAGTTGCGGTTTGACAGTCTGCCTTGCCTGCGATAAACACTGATGAACAACAAAAGTGACAATTCTAAATTTGTAACTCTGTATGCATTGAAACAGTAAGAAAGATGCAGAGGTCTTCTCAAGTTATGATCAATCACAGGAGACAGCCATGTATCAGATTATGGTCTGGTCTTGGTATGGACACATGTATGTACGAAGACATTTTGGTCAACCCTTTTATTGATAAATTAATACATGTGTCTCTCTAAATTTTCTTGAGGTGTCACTTTCCTGCTAATCATTTGCATTCCATGAATCAACAAAGTAGAGCTTGGTTGGACATACTGGTTAACTTTGTGTTCATACCAAGGCCAGTAAAGGCTAACCACTAGACTGCAGCAGTTGCATCATCACACAGGACAATTAGTGCAAATGATTAGCAACTAAGTGCTGGGAGGAACCTTCTGATTGCCCCCAATGAAGAAGCATGATCAGATGCTTCTTCATAGACATATTACTAATACTTTGGATCTGGGAACATCACAGGTTGGCAACCATATTTTGATCTTCACAAACATGTACCACCTGGCACTCCTCAGAACTACTCCCTCCGTTCCAAAATAGATGACCCAACTTTACACTAAAGTTAGTACAAAGTTGAGTCATCTATTTTGGAACGGAGGGAGTACGTCGCAGCTTTCCTGTTCTGGATCACAAGTGAATGTCAGTGACTCTGTACATGTTAGGAGTCGTTGTAAACCGTCCTCCCCTGTGTAACGGTCCTTATAGATGATGTTAGGAGTCGTTGCACATCATGGTGTGGGCTTTATAGATGATGATGATGTGGTTCGTTCTCGCTTCTTGTGGGCTTCACAGAAAGTTGCTCCTCTTTCTGCACACCAGTTTGAGAAAGTTGCTCTTCTTTGTGCACATCAAGATCAAGGTGTGGGCTTTGTAGATGATGATATGCTATGGTTCGTTCTCGCCTTTCGTGATCTTCTTGTACTTGCATCCTTTGGTCCTCATTTTGATCACTACCATACCAGGTTGTTTATCACCCGATTCGCTCTCGTCGTCAGATGTTTCATCGTCTAAACTCCTGGATGGCTTCATGCTGATGCCAAAAATGCTTCTGATAAACGTCCCCTCGAAAAGAGAATTGCGTGTTAGATGGTGTACTTGACGATGCATCAGTCAAAGACTTGTATCATCAGCAAGATACAGAACTAGTCTCTCTCTCTCTCTCTCTCTCTCTCTCTCTCTCTCTCTCTCTCTCTCTCTCTCTCTCTCTCTCTCGGCTAATTAACCTTCCACGTCATATTTTTTATTAGCTAATTATGCTTTTAGAGACTGTTTTCCAATTGACATGCGTTTGGGATTCTTACAACTAAAGTATTTCTTAGTCCCAGCTTTAATCATGCCGCCTTTAAATAATTTCCATTTCTGCTAAGCAAGTTCACTATGCTAATTAGCACTGGAATCCACGAATGGGCTGCCCAAACCTTGTCCACATGGCCCAAGACGACAAATGCTAAAGCTGCCAAAGCCCATGTTAAAAATATCTCCCACTTGCAGCAGGAAGCACAACACTCCTCTTTCTTTAGTCCCACCTCGCCAACCGAGGAGGCGTTTGACCAGCTTAAATACCCGTCTCCACACTCTTCATTCGCCGAGCTCAGTTACGAGAGCTTGTAACCCGAGTGGGGGCATTAAGGTGGTGTGGACGCTGTTGTAGCGCTGCAGGCCTGGTCTGGGTGTGCTACTGCTGGCCCGCCCGTTCCAAGTTGAGTAGTGGACCGCCTGGGGCCTATGCGAAAGCTAGGCCTCACGGTCCATAATGTGGTAGGCACAGCGTGAGGCTGGCTTCACAGAGCAGCGATAACTGCCCGCTTCCAACGGTGGAAGGATAACGGGCCGCTGCACTCCTAGGCCACTTGGGCCTCGCAGCCTACTCCAACGGACCATCACTTTTTTCTTTATGCTGCGTGTGAATTTTCATTTTTTGTGTTGCGCGTAAGATGTTTATTTTGCTTACTTTTTTGACTTGAGTACAAATTGTGAGTTTTTTGGCTAAACATTGAAGGTTTATTTGTTCACACTTCTCACTCTTGAGTATAAATTGTGACTTTTGAATATAATTAATGAAATATATTTTTTTGCTGCACATAAGAGGTTTATTAGCTTACTCTTTTGACTCTGGAATATAAATTGTGAGTATTTTTTGTGCTCGATACAAGAGGTTTATTTGCTCAATCTTTTGACTCTTCAGTATAAATTGTGAGTATGGTGGTGATTGCGAGGTCGGACTTGGTATGGTTTGTGGTATTCTGGTTCACCTTCGATCTTTTTATCCAATAATAGGCAACAAAGCTGCGCTTTGACGGTCTGACTTGCAATGCCTGCGATAAACACCGATGAACAACAAAAATGACAATTCTAAATTTGTAGCTCTTTATGCATTGAAACAGTAAGTTACCCACAACAACTTTTTTTACTTCTAAAGTTACCATGGCACACTCGACCACACGCTCCTTATTGTTACAGTTCTCACTTTAGAGATCTAGCCTCATCACTTGGTGCAGGAAGAAGCTGGATACTCACTATATGGTTGAGCTACTCTGTCCCAGCCACTGAAGAAGCAGCAGGGGAAGCGATGGAGTAGGAGCACTGCTGCACGGTGATCTTGTCGACGGCGAGCGTGTCGGTGGGGAACGGGCAGGAGCCGGCGTGGGTGCCCTGCAGAGGCGCGCATGGCGCCGGGGTGACGCCGGCCGAGACGCCCTCGACGTCGGCGCAGTTCCACGACACCTTCCTCTCCTTGGTCATCTCGGCGGTGACGTTGGCCATACAGATGCCCTTGAAGGGCGCGCCCTGGATGCCCTGCATCCTAGCGGCCTCCTTCCAGACGCCGGTGGCCACCACGTCCTGGTAGCTGATATTCTCCACGAGGGGCACGGCGGTCTTGTCGTAGCCGTCGTCGGGGTGAGACTTGTAGTCGCCGGTCATCCAGAAGACGCGCTTCATGCCGTCGAGCCGCATCCGGCGCGCGTACACGTCGCGCACGTACGCGCCACGGCCCACGGCCGTCTTGATCCGCACCGCGGACTCGGTCCCGATCGCCGTGATGTCCTCGGCGCGCACGTCCCGGATGCCCCCCGACATCTCGCTGCCGAGCGCGATCACCGCGCTGGTGGGCGACACGCAGGTGAGGCGGCGCACGACGATGTGCTCGCTGGGCATGCCGACGGCGATGCCGTACTCGTCCCAGCCGCTCTTGATGGCCACGCAGTCGTCGCCGGAGACGACGTAGCAGTCCTCGATGCGGACCTGGGAGCACGAGTCCGGGTTGATGCCGTCCGTGTTGGGCGACTTGGTGGGCGCCAGGATGGTCACCCCGGACACAACGATGTTGCGGCTGTAGATCGGGTGGATGTTCCACGCCGGCGAGTTCACGAGCGTGACGTTGGAGATGAAGACGCCGTCGGTGTGCATGAGCTCGATGAGGTAGCCGCGCGTGTACTTGAGCTTGCCGGACTTGTACTTGGACCACCACGTGGCGCCCTGGCCGTCGATGGTGCCGTTGTTGCCCGTGATGACGACGTCGGTGAGGTTGGACCCGGACACGAGGCTCGCGTACCGGCCGCCGGCGTGGTCCCGGCCGCGGCCGTAGGAGGGCAGCGGGTCGATGACCGGCCACTGGGTCACGTCCTGCGTCCCGAGGATGACGGCGTCGGCGTGGAGGAAGAGCGTGAAGTGGCTGGTGAGGTTGAAGGGCGCGGTGAGCCAGCGGCCGGCGGGCACGTAGAGCATGCCGCCGCCGCCGCCCTCGCCCGAGTACTGCGACAGGTGCTCCACCGCCTTGCGGAACGCCGCCGTGTTGGAGGTGTTGCCGTCGCCCACGCCCCCGAAGTCCAGCAGCGACGCCGTGTGCGCCCGGCAGCTGGGCGCCATGTAGGTGCTCTGCCCCGCCGCGCCCGCCTGCGGCGGCGCGTGGCGGCGCGCCGACGCCGCCGTCGCCGCCAGGAGGAGGACGGCGAAGCAGAGGATCTGCAAGTGAATCCACAGGAGGAGGGAAGCCCGGTCAGGAATCTTGGACCAGTGTTGAATTGAAACAGGAACAAAATGCAGAGAGGCAATTGGGGAAAGATGAATCCGCTAGTAAGATTTTGCTGCTGATTCGGCCCAGGGATGAAGAAAATGGAGAGTAGATAAGTACAATCAACCAAGCTTCGAGTTGCCGAGATGAGGTGACATTGCTACTACTACCAGGAAAGATTGATGTTAGAGGAGCACATACATGGAAGGGGATCGGCGACGCCATTGCTGCTGCTGCTGCTCCTCCTTTCTCTGTCGAGAGTGGAGACAGAGATCTGTGTCCGTGTCTCTGTTGTTTGGAGGAGGGAGCGGAATGGAATGGCGGATTGGGTTGTGAGACGAACATCCACCTCTCGCTCTATTTATAGGATAGGATAGGAGGAGGAAGAAGAAGAAGATCCAACCCAGACCAGCCGTGCCTTGGGGTGGCGCTGAGTTAGGAGGCACGATCTAAATGCACTAATTGCACTTTACAAAATCTTTCTACTACTAATTACTATTTTATCCTCATTATGGTGCTAGTATTTATTTGTATAAATTGCCGACATTAATAGTTTCCTGCTGCGTTAATCTTGATGCGCATGGAGCCAAGGCAGTGCTGCACTGCTACTGTCTTGTTCACTCATGCAGCACTTCGATTTGGCTTCAACTTCACGGGTGCCCATCAGTGCGCGCGTACTGCTACTCCGGTGGGCCCGCCCCCGCCGGTGGTCACGTTTTGCAAGCCAGGAGGGTCACGAGGAGCACAGCGGTGCTCAAAACCACGCTCCTCCCACACCCACAGGACGGATACGGAGGGATCCCCGCGGCTTCCGCGTCCAAATTATCTAGGAAAAAAAGTCTATTTTAAACCCTGAATTGGTAGAGATCCGGCGAAATGAACCCCAGCGTCCAAATCCCTGCCAATTGCACCCATAATCTATCCGACCCCGGTCCAAATCAAACCTTTCAGGGCGGTTTCATGCTAACAGGCGCTGGCGTGGCAGCGGTCAGCCAGGATTCTGACCGGTGGGGCCCGCTATCGTCGACGAAGACCAAGTCTTAATGGCACCGCCCCGCATGTGTCGAGCGCGTGGGGAACGAAACCAGGGTTCGTCGTCCGCGCGGTGTGAAATCAGAGCGGGGCGGAGCGGAGGAGAAATTTGAGCATGGCGGCGGAGAGGGGGGTGTCGTGGTCGTCGGGTGCTGCGCCCGCTCCCGGATCCCGTCGAGCTGCAGGAAGGAGGGGGGAGGAGTCGCGCTCGCCGGTGCGCTACCGCGAGAACCCAATGTGCCGCTGCAACCCTCCGAGGAAGGCGCCAAGATGGATCTCCTGGAGCCGGCAGAACCCTGGCAGGAGGTACTATTGCTGCGTGGATGCTATGGTGAGAATCAATTTTTGCCCTATTTTTCTTGTGTGTAATTGAATTCCTCTCATATTTCTTCTCCTATGTGAAATGATTTCTTTTTTGGAAATATTTTTGTGCATCTTAACAGCATGGTGGCTGTGGATTTGTGAAGTGGCATGATGATCCTTTGCCGAAATTTTTGAGTGAGCTGATTGGGGATCTGCGTGATGAAGTCTGGAGGCTTAAAGGCGTTGCAGCTGTTGCTCGATCTGAAGATCAATTTGCAATGGTAGCTCCCAGTGAAGATCAAGCCACAAGGGAGGCCATGGTTCTATCTCTACAAGAGCAACTGAGAGAGAAGAATGAAGAGATGGTTGGGATTAGGGCCAAATGTCATAATGTGGTGTTTCTTTTTACTATATTTGTGCTTGGTTTCGTTGCAGGCAAGATGTTAAGTTAGTTCTTGGTTTAGTTGCATCCAAATCTAATTGCAATGGAGTGTGTGGTTTAGTTGAATGTGTACTGGACAAGTTACGTTAGTTCTTGCTTAATGTGTAATGGATCAGTTAAGTTGTCTTTGTATGCAATGAGACTGAGTTTGTGGTAAATGGTTTGGATCTTTTCAGAAAGTTTGAATTATGAAATCATTGCAAATGAGTTTGTCTTAAGTTTTTTCTCAATGACATTTGTTTACTGAATCCATCTAACTCAAATCAAACTGGCAAACAAAATAACACATAAACCTGGAGATATAACATCCATACCAAATGAACTCCATACATAAACTTGGGCATGTTTGCATAACAAGTGTTTGCAGCATGTAGCAAACCTGATAAATGATTGTTTTCAGGCATTCACAAAAGATATGTTTGCACCATTACATTGAAAATGTTTTAAACACTCCAACATCAACAAAAGTACTAGAACTGGCAAGCTGGAGCCATAACTAGTAGTTTCCACTCCAAGTGAAGTATTTGTAGCTTGGCATTGAGGATGCATCCTTTCTTCTTACTCTCTTAGCTCCAGTTCCTCTCACTGAAGAAGATGATCCAGCTTCAGCAGTTGCAGCTCTCTTTCTTGGTGGCTTGAAGCTGCTGGCATTGGTACCAGGTGTAGAGGCTTGTGGAACTTGAGATGTAGAGCCGGAAGCAATGGTTCTAGCAGCTGCTTGTGATTGAACTTGAGATGTAGAGCCACAAGCACTAGTTCTAGCAGTTGGTTGTGATTGAGCTTGAGATGTAGAGCCAGAAGCACTGGTTCTAGTAGTTGCAGTTTGCTGGCATTTTTAAGACAGAAAAAGAGAGAATAGTGAGGAGATATATCATGTGTAAGCATTTAAAATCAACTAAAATGACCAAGTGATCATGTGCAATCATGTAAAAGCATGGAATACCTCAGTTGTGCTCTTTTTCTTGCTAGTCTTGGTGAGATGTGCATTCTTCTTCTTGCCTCTCTCAGGGTTCTTCTTGCACCCTTTCTTGTTGTGTCCAGGATTTCCACACATAGAGCACTTAATTATGGATCCATGCTTGCTCATTTTCTTTCCCTTAGGAGCTTCTGTTTCTTCTCTTTTCCTGTCATTTTTCTTAGGCCTTCCTGGCATTCTCACATATTCAGGAGCTACAGGCCTAGGATTTGCAGACACAAGCCACATCTCTTCACCTTCTATAGGCTGCAAGCAATGCTCATATATTTTTTGAACACCTCAACAAAGTAGCAAGGATGAATGAAATCTTCAGTATTCTTCTTACACTTGTAGATAGCACTAATGGCATGGTGACAAGGCAGACCAGCCAACTGGAAATAGCCACAGGAGCATGTCCTTTTTTCAAGATCAATAGTGTACCGCCTTCCCCTACCATTGATATGCTTCACTTCAAACCCATTTTCTCCATTCCAAAGCACCTCAAGATATTGGGTCACTGGAAAGGGTTCCGGACATCCCCGGCATGTATATGGGCTTAATGGGCCAAGGGAGGGACATACCAGCCTACAAGGGGCTGGTGCTCCCCTCTCCCTGGCCGAACAACCCTAGTGAAGGAAAAGGGGGAGGGCTAGCCCCTCCTACCTTTCCCTCTCATGGGAGAAAGGAAAATGGGGGGCGCCACCTTCCCCTGCCTTTCCCCCGCTTCTATACATGGCAGGGGAGCGCCACCTTGGGAGAGACCCCAAGTAGGATTCCTTCTACTTGGGCGCCTCCTTTGGCTTCTCCTCCCTCCCTCCCACCTATATATATATGTGGGGAGGGAGCGCCACACAAGGACACAGCATTGTCTTAATTAGCCGTGTGCGGCGCCTCCGTCCACCGATTACTCCCTCGGTCATATCTTCGTACTGCTTAGGCGAAGCCCTGTGGAGATTGCATCACCATCACCGTCGCCACACCGTCGTGTTGCCGTAACTCATCTACTACTTCGCCCGTCTTGCTGGATCAAGAAGGCGAGGACGCCACCGAGCTGAACATGTGTAGAATGCGGAGGTGTCGTGCGTTCGTTACTTGATCGGTTGGAGCGTGAAAAAGTTCGACTACACCAACCGCGTTGTGAAACGCTTCCTCTTACGGTCTACGAGGGTACGTAGACACACTCGCCCCTCTCATTGCTATACATCTCCTTGATAGATCTTAGGTGTGCGTAGACACTTTTTGTTTTCCATGCAACGTTTCCCAACATGTCGACCCCTCAAAATGTCAAGGACAAGAATTGGCTACTCCAAGACTCTGCATTTTTTTTGTTTAGTGATCCAAGATCACATTGAGTCCCTTAGGAAAGCCAATACTATTAAAAGGGATGATGTATTTTTAATGAGGTTGTTGCTCAAGTGCTTAGTGATATTGCTAAAAAAACCTCAATCACTTCCTCAAATCACATCTATCCAAAACCCTAAATATTCATTTCGGTCCCACCGATATCACCTACTTCGGACCCACCGAAATGACCATTTCATTGCCACAGCCAAAACCCTAGCAATTCGGTTTGACCGAAAAGGACCTCGGTCCCACCGAGATGGCATTGCCAAGTTTCTGTGATGACATTGTTTCACTTCGGAATCACCGAATTGAAACAATCAGAAATTTCGAGACTGAGTTCTAGCCTAGCCATTGCACTTTGGTCCCACCGAGTTGTTCCACTTCGGTCCCACCGAAAATCCCAGCGTTCATATCTTTTACACTAATCGACCTCACCGAGTTTTAACATTCGGTCTCACCGATTTAGGTCAAAAGTGTGTAACGGTTGGATTTTGAGTGAAGGCTATTTATATCCCTTCACCCTAACCCACTCTCTAAGAGAGCCATCAGAACGGAACACAACTTCCACCATTCATTTTCTGAGAGAGAACCACCTACTCACGTGTTAAGATCAAGAGATTCCATTCCTACCATTTGAAGCTTAATTTCTAGCCTACTCAAGTTGCTTTCCACTCCAATCCTTCTCCTACTCAAGCCAAATCTGTGAGAGAGAGATTGAGTGTTGAGGAGACTATCATTTGAATCACAAGAGCAAGGAGTTCATCACCAAAACAACATCTATTACCTTTTGGGGAGTGCTGTCTCCTAGATTGGTTAGGTGTCACTTGGAAGCCTCGAGATCATGTGGAGTTGAACCAATGAGTTTGTAAAGGTAAGAAGATCGCCTACTTCGTGAAGATCTACCAGAGTGAAGCTAGTCCTTCGTGGACGGGAGCCATGGTGGAATAGACAAGGTGCGCTTCTTCATGGCCCCTTCGTGGCTGGAGCCCTTCGTGGACTCGCGTAACCGTTACCCTCCGTGGGTTGAAGTCTCCATCAACATGGATGTACGATAGCACCACATATCGGAACCACGCCATAAATCATCGTGTCTCCTTGCGTTTGAAATCTTCAATCCCTCATTTACTTACATGTTCACACCGAGCTGAACATGTGTAGAATGCGGAGGTGTCGTGCGTTCGTTACTTGATCGGTTGGAGCGTGAAAAAGTTCGACTACACCAACCGCGTTGTGAAACGCTTCCTCTTACGGTCTACGAGGGTACGTAGACACACTCGCCCCTCTCATTGCTATACATCTCCTTGATAGATCTTAGGTGTGCGTAGACACTTTTTGTTTTCCATGCAACGTTTCCCAACATGTCGACCCCTCAAAATGTCAAGGACAAGAATTGGCTACTCCAAGACTCTGCATTTTTTTCGTTTAGTGATCCAAGATCACATTGAGTCCCTTAGGAAAGCCAATACTATTAAAAGGGATGATGTATTTTTAATGAGGTTGTTGCTCAAGTGCTTAGTGATATTGCTAAAAAAACCTCAATCACTTCCTCAAATCACATCTATCCAAAACCCTAAATATTCATTTCGGTCCCACCGATATCACCTACTTCGGACCCACCGAAATGACCATTTCATTGCCACAGCCAAAACCCTAGCAATTCGGTTTGACCGAAAAGGACCTCGGTCCCACCGAGATGGCATTGCCAAGTTTCTGTGATGACATTGTTTCACTTCGGAATCACCGAATTGAAACAATCAGAAATTTCGAGACTGAGTTCTAGCCTAGCCATTGCACTTTGGTCCCACCGAGTTGTTCCACTTCGGTCCCACCGAAAATCCCAGCGTTCATATCTTTTACACTAATCGACCTCACCGAGTTTTAACATTCGGTCTCACCGATTTAGGTCAAAAGTGTGTAACGGTTGGATTTTGAGTGAAGGCTATTTATATCCCTTCACCCTAACCCACTCTCTAAGAGAGCCATCAGAACGGAACACAACTTCCACCATTCATTTTCTGAGAGAGAACCACCTACTCACGTGTTAAGATCAAGAGATTCCATTCCTACCATTTGAAGCTTAATTTCTAGCCTACTCAAGTTGCTTTCCACTCCAATCCTTCTCCTACTCAAGCCAAATCTGTGAGAGAGAGATTGAGTGTTGAGGAGACTATCATTTGAATCACAAGAGCAAGGAGTTCATCACCAAAACAACATCTATTACCTTTTGGGGAGTGCTGTCTCCTAGATTGGTTAGGTGTCACTTGGAAGCCTCGAGATCATGTGGAGTTGAACCAATGAGTTTGTAAAGGTAAGAAGATCGCCTACTTCGTGAAGATCTACCAGAGTGAAGCTAGTCCTTCGTGGACGGGAGCCATGGTGGAATAGACAAGGTGCGCTTCTTCATGGCCCCTTCGTGGCTGGAGCCCTTCGTGGACTCGCGTAACCGTTACCCTCCGTGGGTTGAAGTCTCCATCAACATGGATGTACGATAGCACCACATATCGGAACCACGCCATAAATCATCGTGTCTCCTTGCGTTTGAAATCTTCAATCCCTCATTTACTTACATGTGCAATGTTTTACTTTCCGCTGCTACACTCTTAGAATTGCATGTGTAGGATGATACTAGACTTGGTAGAATTGCTAAAATTTGCCCACAACTAAATTTGGGAAAAATAATAGATTTTTATTTGGTCAAGCAGTCTAATCGCTCCCCTCTCTAGACATATTTTTAATCCTACAAGGGCGAGTCCAAGAAAATGGCTTTCTCGGGGATTGTCCGAGTCTCGTCACCCACTTGCGAACTCTTTTAGGTGCTTATGCATCAGCGCAGCTCTGTAGGTTCCTGGGGGGCTGTGCCCCCCCCCCCCAACCAACTTGTGAAGAAAATAACTTATGAGGGCTTATTGTAGTCAACCCCCCCCCCCAAAAAAAACACTTGTATTTTATATTTGGC